TAAATATATCTCCACTTACAAGCACAGAAGAAAGAAAAGTGAAAGACTTTATTAACAGATGGGAAGAATGTTTGTTGCCAATCACTTCATGCTGCTGCAAATCTCATGGATCCAAGATTCAAAGGCAGAACTGTCTGCTACTGCATTTGACTGGATTACAAAACAAGCAATACACTTAGGACTTGATGTTGGAAAGATACTTTCAAATGTTGCAGAATATAGAACATCTTCAGGTATTCAGTCCAGGAATGCAGTTTGGGATACTGGCAACCACATCCCTCCTGCAACATAGTGGCAAGGCCTTTGCACGACACAGCCTCTGACTCCTCTTGCTTCTCGCCTGCTTCAGATTCCTCCATCTTCTGTAGCATGTGAAAGAAACTGGTCTATGTTTGGAAATACTCACACCAAATCAAGAAATAAATGAACATGTGAAAGAGTAGAGAAGCTTGTCTCAATCCAGGCAAACCTTCAGTTTTCAGAAGTCCATGAAAACGATGAAATGAAGAATCAGAAGAAGCAGAAACTCCTGATAGCAATAGCTCAGAAAACGAGACTGATTAGACAAAGTTTCATGTAGCAAAATTTGTATTCAATGAGTCTTGGTATTTTTTTCCTTTTTTTTTCCAGCTCTTTTTCTAAAAATGAGTGCTTTCTGTATCTGCTTGACACTGTGGAGGAGACTAAGTCTAGAATACATAATAACTTTCTCTGTTTTACTATAATGTTGATGATTTCTTCTATTTTCAACATTAATTTTTGCCTGCTTCTTATAAACTGGCAAAAACTAAGAGATGCTAGGTTCCTTAGAGTTCAGCAGCTTGTAGCTCCATTTGTAACAAAAATTTAAAACATTTTAAAGTAAATTCAACTAGTAAATTTGTAATTTGTGTCTGAATAAACTATACTTTTAAATTTAATAAATATATCAAACATGATGATTTTATGAGCAAATCAAGTTATACATAATGCATTTTATGTTCTTAAAGTACCAAAGTAAATTTAGACCTGTAAAGGGCGCTAAGAAAATAAGTATTGCGTATATTTCAATTTCCCCCCAAATTTCCATTTTTTTCCAGAAAAAAATGTTTTTTTTCCCCATAACTTCAAAATGTACAGAAATTTTACATCTCTAGTAAGTAGTAAGTTTAAACCTAAAAAAATAGGTTCTTTTCCACACACCCTGTAATTAAAATGTGGATGGAACTTATTGCCACAAGATGATGTGGAAGCTGACAGTTTAGCCAGATTAAAGAAAGGATTGGATAAATTCTTGGAGGAAAGGTGCAGCAGTAGCTTTTCAGCATGAGTTAGGGGCACAGCCTCTGAATCAAAACTTCCTAGGCCTTAAATGCTGGAGGCTGCAAGTGAGAGAGGAACAGTGGAAAAAGCCATGGTCATACCCAGTTCACTCTCCCTTTCAGCATCCACTGTCTGCCATTGTGACACAGGAGACTGGGCAAGATGGACCAATGGTTTGATGTAGTAAATGGCAGTTCTTTTTTCCTGTCACCAGCTTTTCTACCACTGAAGGAGGGCACATGCCAGGGTTTCTCTCTTAGGGTATAAATAGATGTTGCTTTTGTGCTGCCATAGAAAATTTTATGGAGGCACAAAGGGACAGCAAACAGATTTATACCATGTGTTATACCACAAATACCCAAATTTATGGCTACAACAAAGATGGCAATAATTTTATGACACTATTGCAGCAGATGTCTGTTAAGTTTATGGTACAAGAGGTGAGGGCATCCTGGAGCTGCCTTCACTCTCCAACTGTCCTGGGCAGGTGTATTCAGGGCTTGAGAGCTCCAATCCTGCACAACCTATTCAAGGATCAGACTCCTAAAGCCCTGAAAGCACCTGCCTGACTTTCCCCACTTACAGAGATGCATTCTGAAGATTCCCTGGGGCTCATTTCTGGAAGTGGAGAACCTCAACTTTCTCTGCTTATACAAAGATAAGCTCTGGGGTACATCTCTAAGTGGGGAAACCCTAGCTTTCCTTGCTTACAGAGGCACAGCCTTGAGATTCCCTGAGGCAGTTCTCTACAAACAGGGAACATGTTGCCTGTTGTCCTGCAGGTTGCATCCTGGCACAGCTGATCTGCTTCATTTGGTGATGATTATTTAAGTGCACCTGGATTCATTGGTCTGCCTCAAGAGTACACCTGGCAGAGGGATGAACGATATCACTCAGGATGCTGGGTAAAAATTTCAAAAGCACCTAAGTGATGGAACAAACATTCTAATATTATAAAAGTCTAAGTCTGTCTGTCTGTCTGTCTGTCCATAACGCTTTAGTTGCACTCTGATTGGCTGATGGAAACAGGTAATGTGGGGGTGGGGCAAGTGGGCCTGGGCCCAATGTGGGGTGGGGAGGGCAACATAGGGCAGGCCCAAGCAGGGGAAAAGCCAGCCCGCCACGGTGTGGGGAGGAGGGGAACAGCAGGCCCAGCTCGACGTAGCCGTAGCAGCAGCTAGGGGGCCCAGGCCCACTCCTCCCCAACCCCCCTCCCCTGCATTGACCCTGAGCCCACTCCTCTTGTCCCCAGGTGGGTATGATGCAGGGGTGGGGGGGAGAGGAGTGGGTGTGCCTTGGTGTCGGCGATGATGGTGGGGCCAGGGGTGGGCCTGGACTGGGGTGGGGGGGCTGGGCCTCTGTCACTGCCTTCCCCCCCACCCAGACCCCTGGTCATTCTTGATGGCAATTGGCTAGTAAAAATCATATTGGCTTTCATTAGTCCTGTTCAGCTTATTTAGATGCTTTGGAAACTGTTGCTTGCCAGCTGGTTGCATGCACCCTGATGAGACAATAATCACTGGTGGTATAATATGCAACATCTGCCTTACCTAGAGAAGTTCTGGCCGGTGTGGAGTCTCTCTTGATCCAGAAGGAAACCCAGGACAAAACTACTGTCAAGATGCACGGGATATAGGTCTGAATGGCAAAATAGCCCATCCGCCTACTCAGGTCAAAGGAAACAGTCATCACCATGTACTCACCTAGGAGAAGGCCATAAAAAGGCACACAAGTCAGAGTAATATGATTTTGTTTGGCCAAAGTCTCTTTACTCCTGCTGTTTATCATCCCTACAACACTGCATTGCAACAGCACCTCAGTTCCTCACCATTTGCAATATGTTTATTCTCATTCCAAAGCAAGATGAGACTAAGGGCAGCATCTTATAGATGCATCTATTTAGACTTCAGCATATCCACAAAAAAGGTACTATGCCCCAGGGGGTCAACTCTGAATGATGAGGTTAGATGTCTAAGATCCCTACAGAGGCAATACAGGTTGGTACCTCATAAGGACAATCTAGAGCTCATCAGGGCCCAGGCCTTGGCTGGAACTAGCCAGTCTGAATTTCCAGAGCTTAGGATTTTCCACCAATCATTCCCTATGTCCCCCTTTCCTAAACTTCAGCTCTGGATCTTCTCTTCTGCTTACTGGATAATTCTGGATAAGGGCCACATTTTATTCTATTTCTGAAGATTCATCCCAATGTTGTAGAAGCAACTTTATGGGTAATGGGACAGATCTTCCTTCCCTTTCACTTGCTCTTTAATCGGGGAAAGATATATTTGATTTTAATGAATTATAATGGAGTAAAGCAGTAGGCATTTGAGCCAATAGTATTGCATTCCAGGTAGAAAAGTAGAGCCATTTGTGAAGTTACCCATAGGAACTTGCAACAAAAAATGTTAGATTGACTTGATGGAGCACATCAGAGAAGTGAAGGCCATTGGACTAGCCTTTCCTTTGGAATAAGGAGATGACCCAGAGCCTTGTTTCAGTGCTCACCTAGACATAACAGACCTACAGAGCTAACCCTTCTCAGTGTGGGCTAGAGGGAGGTGGTGTGAAGAACAGATTGTTGCTCCTGGCATGGGAAGGCACGTAATGAGAATGAGTAGGTAATAACAGAATGAAATCCATGTAATTTAGGGCTCAGTCTTGTCTGCCTGATATGATTTAACATCCCCCCTTCTTGTTATTTCTGTAGCAAGGGACCTGTCCACTGGGATTCTCATATCTATTCTGCAGGTGCCTATCAGTGCCATTATTGGTCTGCAGGTGCCTATCATTGGTCCATTGCTGTCATCTTGAATGTAGCCATCAGACTGACCTTGTGCATCTGCCTGGGGGGTCTGGCTCTTTTTTTATTTCATAGGCAGAAATCTCCTTTGTCTGTCAGTTCAGTTTGATTCTGAGCTGCTCAGCCCTTGCTTTACTCTCCATGCACTCTCTGGTAAGCTGCTAACTTTGGCTTCTAATCTTTATTAACCATGAACTGTTGGCAAAGGGCAGTTCTTTTTGATGTTCTAACACATGTTCATTGCTCCTTAGCCAGTTGATATAACAGGGAAAATAGATGGCAAAAGAGGTATGTTTCAGTGGTTCTGTTTCTCTTGACTTGTAACAGTATATAAGAAACATTTGAAAATTTTACCTTGCTTGTTTGGTGGGGGAGAGGAAGTTTTACTGGCTGTAGAGATAAGATTAGTAGTATTGACAGTGTCTTGTCTGCATATATCTGCAACTGATTTTTCAACCAACATGGGTTCGTTAGGGGCAGGTGCCATCAGACCAACCTGGTTGCCTTTTACGACCAGGTCACAAAATACTTAGATGCAGGTGTCGCAGTGGATGTAGTCTTTCTGGACTTTAGGAAGGCCTTCAACACTGTCTCTCACCTCATTCTCATTAAAAAATTAGGTGACTATGGCGTTGATACCTACACAGTCAGATGGGTCACAAATTGGCTAGAGGGCCGCACCCAGAGGGTAGTGGTGGACGGGTCATTTTCGACCTGGAGGGATGTGGGTGGTGGGGTCCCCCAGGTCGCTGTTCATCATCTTAATCTGCAACTTGGACAAGGGGGTGAAAAGCACCTTGTTCAAATTCACAGATGACACTAAGATGTGGGGAGAGGTGGGTATGATAGAAGGGAGGGACAGGCTACAACTAGATCTGGACAGGTTACAGGAGTGGGCGGATGAGAATAGGATGGGATTCAATACTGACAAGTACAAGGTACTGCACCTAGACAGAAAGAACCAGCAGCATACCTACAGGCTGGGGAACTCCCTTCTTGTCAGCACAGAGGCAGAAAAGGATATTGGAGTCATTATTGATTCCAAGATGAACATGGGCCGACAATGTGAGGATGTGGTCAGTAAGGCTAACCGCACCTTGTCATGCATCCACAGATGCATCACGAGCAGGTCCAAGGAGGTGATCCTTCCTCTCTATGCAACATTGATCAGGCCGCAGTTGGAGTACTGCATCCAGTTCTGGATGCCGCACTTCAGGAGGGATGTGGACAGCATTGAGAGGGTCCAGAGGAGGGCCACTCGCATGGTCAGGGGGCAGCAAGGCAGACCCTACAAAGAGAGGCTACGGGACCTGAACCTGTTCAGCCTCCACAAGAGAAGGCTGAGAAGGGATCTGGTGGCTGTCTATAAGCTTACCAGGGGGGACCTGCAGGGAACGGGAGAGTCCCTGGTTCCCTGAGCACTACTAGGAGTAACTAGGAATAATGGCCACAAGTGGAAAGAGAGTAGGTTCAGGCTAGACATCAGGAAGCACTACTTCACATTCAGGGTGACTAGGATCTGGAACCAACTTCCAAGGGAAGTGGTGCTCACTCCTACCCTGGGGGTCTTCAAAAGGAGGCTAGATAATCACCTAGCCAGGGTCATCTGACCCCAGCATTCTTTCCTGCCCATTGCAGGGGGTCAGACTTGATAATCTGCTATGAAACTATGAAACCATGACCCCAGATTGTACAGCAACCTCCCTCATAATCATAACTGGTTCCCTCCTTTCCAATGAGGTGAATGCTCTCTGATGGCTGGTATGCTCGGATCTCCTAAATGAAAAGACCTCTGAAATTAATGTATAATGGATAACAGTAGAATTCACTTCTCTTTCATGGCAGGATTAACTTAGCTCCCCCATATACCAACTGATACCTTGATGCTGCCTCTTTCATGATTTAACACATCCCAATATGGCAGCAGCCCTCTTGCAGATAGTAATTAACCCATTTGGGACAATTTCTTCACATGGCTAATATTCCCATGTCATGGACAGGGTCAGGTTTTTCCCCCCACCAATTTAATTTTTTCCATTTATAGTTGTTTTTTCCAGCCAGACAGGAGTCTCATGTCATTTGCTGAGAGAGTAAAAGCTTGCTCCAGAAAGGGAGGGAAGCCAAAGCAGTGCTAAAATCTGCTGTTCTAAACATAATGGATACAAGTACTGAAAACAAAATAGATCAGATCTGTGAATCTAACTAGGGGAAGCCAAGTTTACAGAGCTACAGTTTGTGGATGATGGAAAGTTCCTAGTACCCTGATGAGGTTATCAAAGGTAGTGACTGGAGAAGGGGAATTCAGATAGTCTCAATCTACTAATGGTATCAGTAAAACTACTGCAGAGGTACAGGGGCTGAATAATCTCTCTTTTCCAGTGTTATCATCACTGAAAATCTAGCAACCATATATGTAGCTGCAGGTTTTTGAAGTATGGTGTTCCAGCACAGTGGAACATGGGAATTTGTATATCACATCCAACTCTGGCTTTATCTGCCCATGTTGACTGCATGCCACTGAAAGGGTTGTGTCAATACCAGGTCACCAACATGGACAGGCTATTGGACAGATCCTGAGTGCAGCCTCAGGATGTTCTGCCAGCTGCACCATGACTGCAAGCCGCTTCTGCATAATGTTGCACCTGTTAAACTGCCATGTAGACTCCTGGAAATGGGCTGGCATCATGACACATGATCAGCTATGGGCACAAACAGGACATTTCTATCCCGTGAGGCTGAGAAACAGAAGCTCTTCTGGGACAAAACTCTACCTATAATTCCACTAATCCACTTCTCAGTCACACCCTTGCTGCCTTCCCTGCTGACCCCTGCTACTGCTTTCATCCAATTTCCCTCCTGCTTACTGTTTCTAAATAGGCATTTTTTTAAATGTTTTTTCATTTTTAGGCTCCCTGTGGGAAGCCCATGTTTCCATTCTTACCTCCCGCTATTAAGGTTGAAGGACATCCTGTATCTGTGCTGCCCTTCCCTGGGCACTCTCGTGCTCGCTCTCTCACTCCCTGAAGAATCTTACTTGAGGTTGTGTCTACCTGCACCTTCTCCACTTTCTGTTTCCTACTGTACCCCCTTCCCCTGTAGACCTCCTACATGCATGTGGCCTCCCAAGATGTGCAGAGGACCCTCTACCCCTCTCCATAACATGGTAGTGATTCTTTCAGATGAGTGTGCCTTACCAGCTCCAGTTCTGAGAACTTCTGATGTGTTTCTCAGGCCTGTGAAGTCAAACTGGTAAAGCCTCCAGGTGCGTTGATCAGAGACCTCAATAGAGTAACGTCTCCAGCGGTAGATGATCTCTTCTCTTGGATAACCATCTGAAAAATGGGCAAGGGATACCACAGAGTGAGTGATATGCAACGTCTTCCATAGAATGCTTTTCATGCCTCTCCAGTGCCATATGCTCCAGGTACAATGGTAATAGATTATCCATTTCTATGATTATTGCCGTTCAGTATTTTTATTGTGGTAATGCTCAGACTGTGATCATGAATGGGATCCTATTGTTCTGGGTAAATTACAAACACAGGCCAGCACTGAGTTGCATTGGAATGATTGTAAGTAGGGCTGTGCAAAATGGCACTGTTCCATTTCGACTTGCATTTTGATATTTTGATGGACACACTCCCACTGGTGCCAGGCTGAGGAGGAGCAAGGGCAAGGGGGTGGTGCCCGCAGAGATGCATCAGCAATCCCCATGGTGCTCATATGTTTTGTTCCCTTGCCCTGGCCAGTTTTTGATCGGTAGTCCAGGCAGATAGTGTATGTGGGATCACCTGCCAGATAAAAATGATCCCAGACCACACTAGTCACTTGCTTCTGGGGTGTGGGTTCATGTGTGGATGCTGCTGCATTTTCCTCCTCATCAGAAGGCAGAGACACAGCAAGAGGAGGGGCAGACTCAGCTGAGCCACTTGCCTTCACCTGTACATCAACCTCCTCTGAAGAGCCTTTTGGGGAAAGAGACTTGGCTCTAGGGGAAACTTGAGGGGTGTTGAGCACAAAATCAAATGATTCTCCTTCCTTCCCTAGAATTTCCCTTGCTGGGGAACTGAGATCCAGATCCAGTGCCAGCTCTTCCTCTGGCACTGGAGGGCTCAGCATGGGAAGTGAAATAGGGGTGGAGTAGGCTGCCATGCTGGTGCTGGTGCTTGTGCTGCTGCTTGTTGTTGTCATCATGGTGGTGGTGGTGGATTATGGCTGGTGCTCATGGAGGGGATGCAGTCTCGGGCACGGGCACAGGCAGTGGCACTGGCACTGTTCCCCTCTCTTTGCTGTTTGTAGGAGCCTCATCCCATCTAGCTGGAGGAAAGAGGCTGAGTCTCAGTTTGGTGTGTGTCGGGGGGACTTACAGCTCTTCTTCTACCCCATTCTCCGTTCCTCTGATAAGCACCCCTTGTTTCAGGGGCACCTGGCCAAATCCCTAGGGACAGAGGTAGGGCTGGAAGCCATGTCCAGCAGAGATCCCCTGAACTTTCACTATGCATTTTCTTCTTCGGGAACAGCTTTGTATGTTTTGAAAAAGTATTTTATCTAACCAAGGGCATAGATTAGGTTGTTTAGGCTGCGAGAGATCGCTTGTTGCTTAGTTGTTTAATTGATGACCTTGCTAGAAGGAAAGCTGTATCAACAAAGATCCGGAGCTGGAAGGGGGCTTACTTGGGGGGGAGCTGGAAGGGGGGTTACTTGCTGGGCTTGCTATACATTTCATCACATCAGCAAGTTTAACCTGTTACGTAGCTATATAAGGCAGACGCCCACTGGGGCGGGTGTGCTTGCTTTGCAAATGATTGCCAAGCACCACTTTCTGCGCAGAAATAAAGATTAAGTTGGATCCTTCACCTCTGTGTGTTTATTGGCACAAGCGCACCGGGCACGAACCCACTGTCCTTTGGGGACAACACCTCCATGAAGGATAGCCACCTGCCTTTCCACCATGCTTTATGATGTGTTTCATGTCTTCCTTTTCTACAAATATATAAATGTTTTCGCAGTTCTATATAAATTTAAAAATGAAGTTATGGTGCATTAAAGAAATGTATGAAACCAATAGAAATAGGACTTTATCGCTATATACATTCAAAAATGAAGGTGTGGTGCAGTGAAGAAATGTATGAAACTGATAAAAATAGCACTTTCTCCCTATATAAATTCAATAACATAGGTGTGGTGCAGTGAAAACCAATATAAATATATCTTTCTCCCTATATAAATTAAAAAGTGTAGGTGTGGTGCAAAGAATAAATGTATAAAAACAAATATAAATATATTTTTCATCTTATATATGTTCTATAATGTAGGATGTATGCTGCAAAGCTTTAAATGTATAGAAATAAAATTTAAATGTATTTTCCTTCCTATATACATTAAATTCAATAGTAACCCTATCCAATATAAGTATAACATTCAAAAAAGAATACATCAATGAATATAATAATAAAATAAAAGTGTCTAGAAGAAAAAGGTATTCTGAAATCCCTCTTGCTAGGCTAGCAAGTAGGGAATCCTTTACAAGATAAGTGCTGTTAGCCGTAGTTGTCTGATGCTGAGCTGCTGGAACACACAGCTCAGTAAGTGATACTGTGGTGGTGAGAAGCCCAAGCAGGCACTGGGAATGCCAGGGACAACCCCTGGAGTTTCTGAAGGGGAAAAGAGATCCTCCCACACTTTGGGAAACTAACCATACGGACAGGTGGGGACAGAGCAGGAACCGTATGAGCCGGCATTCCACTAGCTCTTCAAACAGCTGCTTCCCAGGAGGGGTGGTGGCTAGCTGATTGCAGCAGCTGATGGAACCACCACAGGAAGTTTAAAAACCCTGCCATAAGCTGACATGGGGGGAGAAGCTGGCCAGGAGAGTGCTAGTTGAAGGGGAGCTCCAGGCTCCAGAAGCAGAGACTCTGTAGGCACAGCCCCGTGGCAGTTGAGCAGGAGCAGTGGCTGGCAGCAAGCTGGGGATGGATTGTTCCCTACTTCTTCTCATTAAAGAAAACCAGGTAGGTGCTCCTCTCGGAGAGGATGCCTGTCATTCGAGGCTCAGATCCTGAGGATAGGGGGTTGGAGCTATTGGAGCAAATCTTCATCCAGATGACAAACTGGAACATTGCCATCTACACTGGACCCCACAGTCAAGGGGTAGACATCATGTCAGGGTGCAGACCTGCATACACAAATGGCTGGCATGTGGATGAGGGGTAAGGAAGGTGGAGCCCTGAGGAACACCACAACTCACCCATGAGTACCCCGTCCCAGGACAAAAGGGGAAAGAAAGACACCACAGAACCCCCTCCTTCTTATATACACCATCAAGATGTGGCAGAAAAGTTGAGGGAACCCCGACCTTGGGGAAGGAGCCATATCTATAGTGCTGACTCACAGCATGATGGTGGTGCATTGGTCGGGAACTTGGCTCCCACTGTAGCGGATCAGTGATCCCAACCTGGGCAGAGTCAACCATGCAGCTGCTGCCTGTAGCCCACACCAAACTTCTGATATAAGCCATCCAGGTGATCAGACAAGTGCTAGAAATACAGCAGCTACAGGGCACCCACCAACAAGAATGGATGCAGTGGAATGCAGCCTTGTTCAAGATGCCGTGGATGACATGTGATGATGACCCCGAAGCCTACATTTAGGTGTTCAATTGGACAGCCCTACAGATGGGGTTGGACCATACTCAGTAGGCTCATCAGTTGGGTGCCCTAGTGGTGGACAAGGCCCAGGCAATTACAACACAGTGAAGGCAGCAATCCTATACAGGATTGAGATTTCACCCAAGAGCTATAGATAGACCTTCTGAGCATGGGAGGCAAAAGACATCAAGAGGCCTCATAGCTTACTCCAGTACCTACAAGACACATTGAATAAGTGGCTCCCCATGAACCAGTATGACTGAGATAGGGTCATAGACCAGGTTCTTCTGGAACAATTCCTTTGGGACCTAGAGGAAGACACCCAGATATGGGTGAGATGACACCAACCACGGAACAGCGAAGTGGCCCTCCACCTCACTGAGGCTTTTTCCATCTCAGAGAATGAGCGTAGTCACAGACAAGGCTTCCAGGCCCCGACTTGGGGCATGACCCAGGAAGAGGAGAAAAGGATAGTGCCCCAGAAGGGGACAGCAAGGGGTGTTGTCTGCTATCGTTGTGGCCGGACCGGCTGTATTGCAAGGGAGTGCGGACTGGGCTTCTGTGAGTTAAGTCGAGGCTTGGTTCCACCTCCCAGCCCTAGAGATAAGTCAAGGGAAGCCAAATGGGGCGGATCCATGGATTGTAGTTTTGGTGCAGCACTACAGGAGGAAGGCTGGGAATGACCAGTAGTGATGGCCTTGATCAGCGGCTGGGAGGTATGAGCTACCCTGGACACAGGGTATTCACAGTCCTTACTCTGAGCAGATCTAGCGCTGAAAGCAGGTGTGAGGGAGGCCAGACCCCTGGTTATGACCTGCATCTTGGGTGGTGAAATGCACTTCCAGAGTTGCTATCTCCTGTCGAGAGTAACAGAGTTTCAAGGAGAACTAAGGGTCGGACTGACCCTGGTGTTGGCATGTGAAATAGTCCTGGGCCAAGAATGGGGACCTATTTACACGGTGCTACAATGAGTAAGAGCAACAGAAGAAGAAAGGAAGCAATTACATAGAGGCGAGGGCTGGGCAGGGGAAACATCCTCCCAGCAGGATGTACTTGTGCAGGGCGGTATAGATATGGGTCAGGTGACCAGCGCAGTGCAATTTCGTCAAGCACTGCAGGAACATCTGGAACTGCAACAGTTGGTCACTGAGGACCCAGGAGAAGGGACGTCCAGGAGTGCCTCCTATTATGAGGTAACAGGGGGTCTGCTGTATCGGATCCAGAGGGGTCAGGGGATTGCAGACAGATGCCAGCTGCTGGCCCTGGCCCCATTCTGCCAGCAAATTTGGAGGCTGGCACACAACTCCCTATTAGGGGGCCATCTAGGGTGCAACAAGACCAGGGCAAGACTGGTCCATGATTTCTTCTGGCCCCGGCTGCAAGATGATGTGGATAGTTGGGGTGCAGCATGTCCCAGGTGTCAGAGATCCCATAAGTGGAGGCCTCAGAGGGCCCCCTTGCAACCCATGCTGGTGATTGAGATGCCCTTCTCCCACATAGTGCTGGATATCATGGGACCCTGCCAAAGTCTCATGGGGGGGTACCAATATGTATTAGTCTTGGTGAACTATGCAACACATTTTCCAGAAGCAGTTCCACTTATGTCAATCACGGGTACTTGAGTGGCTGAAGAGCTGTTAAAGTGGACGGCTCATGTGGGAATCCCCCATGAAATACTAACCAAC